ACCATGAATTAATGCGATCTCCGCAAATGTTGTGGAAAAACGTATGAACATTTCACCACTGTTACCTTGTCCAATGTAAGAATATGACATTAGATTTGTCCTCACATAATTGTGTAAAACTATGTCAGTACATTGTGTCATAAGCCCTGTTTATACCTGGTGCTAATATGCATCCTTTGTCCTGAACTTGTCCACATTCTGATTGCGCCCCATGTTTAGACAGATGGTGATTCAAATATGCATTCTGATTGTGACCAGTTCTTCCTGACCACCTCTGGAGGTAGTCAGGCACACGTTGTTTGGATATCTTACAGTGGGGAAAAAAAGTATTTAGTCAGCCACCAATTGTGCAAGTTCTCCCACTTAAAAAGATGAGAGAGGCCTGTAATTTTCATCATAGGTACACGTCAACTATGACAGACAAAATGAGAATTTTTTTCCCAGAAAATCACATTGTAGGATTTTTTATGAATTTATTTGCAAATTATGGTGGAAAATAAGTATTTGGTCAATAACAAAAGTTTCTCAATACTTTGTTATATACCCTTTGTTGGCAATGACACAGGTCAAACGTTTTCTGTAAGTCTTCACAAGGTTTTCACACACTGTTGCTGGTATTTTGGCCCATTCCTCCATGCAGATCTCCTCTAGAGCAGTGATGTTTTGGGGCTGTCGCTGGGCAACACAGACTTTCAACTCCCTCCAAAGATTTTCTATGGGGTTGAGATCTGGAGACTGGCTAGGCCACTCCAGGACCTTGAAATGCTTCTTACGAAGCCACTCCTTCGTTGCCCGGGCGGTGTGTTTGGGATCATTGTCATGCTGAAAGACCCAGCCACGTTTCATCTTCAATGCCCTTGCTGATGGAAGGAGGTTTTCACTCAATCTCACGATACATGGCCCCATTCATTCTTTCCTTTACACGGATCAGTCGTTCTGGTCCCTTTGCAGAAAAACAGCCCCAAAGCATGATGTTTCCACCCCCATGCTTCACAGTAGGTATGGTGTTCTTTGGATGCAACTCAGCATTCTTTGTCCTCCAAACACGACGAGTTGAGTTTTTACCAAAAAGTTATATTTTGGTTTCATCTGACCATATGACATTCTCCCAATCCTCTTCTGGATCATCCAAATGCACTATAGCAAACTTCAGACGGGCCTGGACATGTACTGGCTTAAGCAGGGGGACACGTCTGGCACTGCAGGATTTGAGTCCCTGGCGGCGTAGTGTGTTACTGATGGTAGGCTTTGTTACTTTGGTCCCAGCTCTCTGCAGGTCATTCACTAGGTCCCCCCGTGTGGTTCTGGGATTTTTGCTCACCGTTCTTGTGATCATTTTGACCCCACGGGGTGAGATCTTGCGTGGAGCCCCAGATCGAGGGAGATTATCAGTGGGCTTGTATGTCTTCCATTTCCTAATAATTGCTCCCACAGTTGATTTCTTCAAACCAAGCTGCTTACCTATTGCAGATTCAGTCTTCCCAGCCTGGTGCAGGTCTACAATTTTGTTTCTGGTGTCCTTTGACAGCTCTTTGGTCTTGGCCATAGTGGAGTTTGGAGTGTGACTGTTTGAGGTTGTGGACAGGTGTCTTTTATACTGATAACAAGTTCAAACAGGTGCCATTAATACAGGTAACGAGTGGGGGACAGAGGAGCCTCTTAAAGAAGAAGTTACAGGTCTGTGAGAGCCAGAAATCTTGCTTGTTTGTAGGTGACCAAATACTTATTTTCCACCATAATTTGCAAATAAATTCATTAAAAATCCTACAATGTGATTTTCTGGATTTTTTTCCCTCAATTTGTCTGTCATAGTTGACGTGTACCTATGATGAAAATTACAGGCCTCTCATCTTTTTAAGTGGGAGAACTTGCACAATTGGTGGCTGACTAAATACTTTTTTCCCCCACTGTACAAGTGTAGACGGATCTGGACAGTGAAACTATTTAAATCATTATTAAAGTGCCTATTTTGTAGTTAGGGCACACTAAAACATGACATAATACAATACAGAACGTCAGTGTGAATACATTTATTAAATATAGTCACCATTAATCATTCACAGCCAGTCTTGGTATACGCTTCACTTTTATTAATGTTGTCATTTTTGGATGACAACTTACAGCACATAATAAAAAAGAAAATAAAAAACTACTTGAATCAACAATCAACATTATTTTTGAGGCTGTGCTTTAAAGAACAAAAAATAGCTTCTTTTTTTTTCAAACCATTTGTGAATGTAGACCAAAGCAGGAGTAGCCTACAAAGTAAAACTTTGAGAAATTCAAAAAGAAAGCTAACCATAACAAAATTCTCAAAACGATGCGTTACTAAGCCTCCACTGGAACTAATGGAGGTTCTTCACATTGAAGCTTACAGTCAAGGTCTTTCATTAGATTTCCTAATAAGAGCTCGCTTACAGAGGTCATCATTAAAATGTTGCATGTAATGGCAGGTGAGAAGAAACGTTACTGGTACCACATTGTCTCCAATTTCGAAAAGTGTTTTGAACCTAAAAAGACAAGAGTCCCTACACCGCATCTCTCTCTTTTACATGGAATCATTATCAAGCAATCAAACATATTTTGCTGCAAATACATTTCCAAATGCGCTAGGTGAAAAAAATGGGTCTGGGAAATGCTGAGAAATAGGAATGACTACTTTCAGAACAGCTCCACTCGGAACACCTAGGAAAGGAATCCTTAACAAAAGCTTACAAGAAAGACGGTAAAATACAGATTAAAGAGACGGTTATCAAAAAGTGTAAGAAGTGTACACAATAAGAAAATCTATACAAACTTTACACATAAAATCACTGAAGTACTGTCGAGTAAAAACAAGAGACAAACAAAACAATAGGAAAACGCTAAGAAAAATCCAAAAATACAGCATTCTAACCGATGAGTTAAAATACAGGACATCACTGATGTCAGACGCTTTACACAAACCTCGGGGACAGACACTCCCATTGGTTCATTTCTTGCAATTAAAACGTTTCCATGGTCAGGGCTACGTTCAGTACGGAAAAAAACATACTGCAACGTTCAATTAAATGGAAACGGTGCTGTTCTGAACGGCCGGTTCAAAGAGGGGAACACCGTCAGCATGGCCGCTGCCCGTTAAATACGTCATCCATTGCTTCAAGCCACACCCACCAAACGTACCTCAAAGTCCATTCAAGAACGTTGGAATGTTTTGGGGAAACGTGTCGTTCAGTACAAACCGTTACGCAACGTAGCAAATGTTTAATCGAACTGAACGCACCCCAGGTTTCAAATAAGCAATGATGTCATGCAGCAGTGTTGCTTTATCCACTCGATATCAACAAAGAAAGAAAACAAAAGGATGAAAGTGCAACATAAGCCCCGTTTATACCTGGTTCTCAGATCACAATCAGTCCATTGTCGTGATTTTTTTATTTTAACCCTTATTTTACCAGGTAAGTTGACTGAGAGCACATTCTCATTTACAGCAACGACCTGGGGAATAGTTACAGGGGAGAGGAAGATGAATGAGCCAATTGGAAGCTGGGGATGATTAGGTGGCCATGATGGTATGAGGGCCAGATTGGGAATTTAGCCAGGACACCGGGGTTAACACCCCTACTCTTACAATAAGTGTCATGGGATCTTTAGTGAGCACAGAGTCAGGACACCCATTTAACGTCCCTTCTGAAAGACAGCACCCTACACAGGGCAATGTCCCCAATCACTGCCCTGGGGCGTTGGGATCTTTTTTTAGACCAGAGGAAATAGTACCTCCAACTGGCCCTCCAACAGCACTTCCAGCAGCATCTGGTCTCCCATCCAGGGACCAACCAGGACTAACCCTGCTTAGCTTCAAAGGTAAGTTAGCAGTGGGATGCAGGGTGGTATGCTGTGATCTTGTCCACATTCTAATTGTGCCAACATTTTTAGACAGTTGCAGACGATTAAAAGATAGATTGTGATCAGATGTTCCTGACCACCTCCGGAGGTAGTCAGGCATGCATTGTGTTTGGATATCTTACAAGTGTAGACAGATCTGGACAGTGAAAACATTTAAAATCATTATTCCGCCTTCTAAATCATTGACAGGTGGCACCATTGACTTATGGTAAATATTTTTTTGAAAGAATATCCGTTAAATCATTTGCATACAGCGAGGGACCAGGAAATCTGGTCACAACGCGGACACAGTGGACGGATTAGAGACACATTTTTGTGTAGATGCATATCTGAAAATGTGGGCACAATCAGAATGTGGACAAGATCAGAACAAAGATCGCATGTTAGCGTCAGGTATAAACAAGGCTTTAGCGAGCCTGCAACAGCACCAATCTGCCTGCCTATCGATCGTCCTGTCGAAGACCTAGATCCCTCAACATACAACACTGCCCCTTCGATTTCTTTATTTCAAATGGCATGGACAGCAAAATACCCATCAGTACATTTATTTAAAAAATATATAAATATTTTTTCACGTAAAAAAATACCACAGCCGATTTTTATGCTAATACAAATAGGAAGAAAAATACATTTTCTTAGCGTAAAATTTTTTCGAGATCGGTCTCTCCAGAAAAGGTGAAAAAGCAGAATGAGTAGAAGAATCAGTATGAATTGTTGTGCGGTGGTAGCAGTAATAGTAGGTAGGGGGAAGGGAGGGGTTCAAGAGCTGTGGTACTTTGGATGTGTGGAGCGTTGGAGGTTTTGCTGGATGGGGGATGAGGCAGGGCTATATGTTGCGCCCCTTTACAATCAGGCCGCTGCCCTCCCTCCGTTTGCTGGTGTGGCCCAGCCGGGTTTGGTTGGTTGGTATGGGTCGTATTCTCTAGGCACCAAACGGAAGAAAAAAAACAGACAAACATGGATGGACTACCTGAACTTGTCCAATAAGAAAATCTAGTTTTAGTTTTCCGTTGCAAAACATTTTGCTGCGATGTGCACTAATGAATACAACCATGTTGTTTTTTTTTAGGTTTGGTTCTGTGCACTTTGACCTCTCGGAGAAGGGGTCATCATTATCATTCGTCCTCTTGCTGGAGGGTCGTCACTGTTCTGGAGGGTTCCGGCTCGCTTTGTTCCGGTGACTCTGCCTCTGTCCGGCACCTCTTGGCCGGCATGTCATAGAGGGGCGCGTCTTCGCCGTCATAGTGACCGTTACCACAATGGGGCTCCAGGGAGCCGTTCCTGTCGTGGCTGGGAGCGGTGGCCACTGCATCGCAGCCGTTGGACTTATTGTCCGAGGTGGTGGGAGGAGGGAGAGCATCCAGAGAGGGGTGGAGGGCAGTGGGAGGAGGGAGAGCATCCAGAGAGGGGTGGGGGGCAGTGGGAGGAGGGAGAGCATCCAGAGAGGGGTGGGGGGCAGTGGGAGGAGGGAGAGCCTCCAGAGAGGGGTGGGGGGGCAGTGGGAGGAGGGAGAGCATCCAGAGAGGGGTGGGGGGCAGTGGGAGGAGGGAGAGCATCCAGAGAGGGGTGGGGGGGCAGTGGGAGGAGGGAGAGCATCCAGAGAGGGGTGGGGGGGCAGTGGGAGGAGGGAGAGCATCCAGAGAGGGGTGGGGGCAGTGGGAGGAGGGAGAGCCTCCAGAGAGGGGTGGGGGGCAGTGGGAGGAGGGAGAGCCTCCAGAGAGGGGTGGGGGGCAGTGGGAGGAGGGAGAGCATCCAGAGAGGGGTGGGGGGCAGTGGGAGGAGGGAGAGCATCCAGAGAGGGGTGGGGGGCAGTGGGAGGAGGGAGAGCATCCAGAGAGGGGTGGGGGGCAGTGGGAGGAGGGAGAGCCTCCAGAGAGGGGTGGGGGGCAGTGGGAGGAGGGAGAGCCTCCAGAGAGGGGTGGGGGGCAGTGGGCCCGTTGAACTGGACGGATTCTGCTTTGACTTCATTTGCCACCGTGGATGATTGGGAACCTTCTCCTGAGCCCGAGCTGTGACTCACTAAACCTGTTGGAGGAAAGATAAACCGAGTGAGCTGAGACGTCATGAATCATGTAAGGTACTAACAATATAGGGGCACACAAGGGTCTCCACAAGAATTCACATGAGATATGTTTTCTCAGTCATTGTAACAGCATTTCATGTCCAGTTGAAGTCGGAAGTTTACATACACCTTAGCCAAATACATTTAAACTCAGTTTTTCACAATTCCTGACATTTAATCCTAGTAAAAATTCCCTGTCTTAGGTCAGTTAGGATCACCACTTTATTTTAAGAATGTGAAATGTCAGAATAATAGTAGAGAGAATTATTTCTTTCAGCTTTTATTTCTTTCATCACATTCCCAGTGGGTCAGAAGTTTACATACACTCAATTAGTATTTGGTAGCATTGCCTTTAAATTGTTTAACTGGATCAAACGTTTCGGGTAGCCTTCCACAAGCTTCCCACAATAAGTTGGGTGAATTTTGGCCCATTCCTCCTGACAGAGCTGGTGTAACTGAGTCAGGTTTCTAGGCCTCCTTGCTCGCACACGCCTTTTCAGTTCTCCCCACAAATGTTCTATAGGATTGAGGTCAGGGCTTTGTGATGGCCACTCCAATACCTTGCTTGGGGTCATTGTCCATTTGGAAGACCCATTTGCGACCAAACTAACTTCCTGACTGAAGTCTTGAGATGTTGCTTCAATATATCCACATCATTTTCCTTCCTCATGATGCCATCTATTTTGTGAAGTGCACCAGTCCCTCCTGCAGCAAAGCACCCCCACAGCATGATGCTGCCACCCCCGTGCTTCACGGTTGGGATGGTGTTCTTCGGCTTGCAAGCCCCCCCCCCCCCTTTCCTCCAAACATAACGATGGTCATTATGGCCAAACAGTTCTATTTTTCTTTCATCAGACCAGAGGACATTTCTCCAAAAAGTAAGATCTTTGTCCCCATGTGCAGTTGCAAACCGTAGTCTGGCTTTTTTTATGGCGGTTTTGGAGCAGTGGCTTCTTCCTTGCTGAGGTGCCTTTCAGGTATGTCGATATAGGACTCGTATTACTGTGGATATACAGTGGGGAAAAAAAGTATTTAGTCAGCAAGTTCTCCCACTTAAAAAGATGAGAGAGGCCTGTAATTTTCATCATAGGTACACGTCAACTATGACAGACAAATTGAGTAAAGAATATCCAGAAAATCACATTGTTGGATTTTTTATGAATTTATTTGCAAATTATGGTGGAAAATAAGTATTTGGTCACCTACAAACAAGCAAGATTTCTGGCTCTCACAGACCTGTAACTTCTTCTTTAAGAGGCTCCTCTGTCCTCCACTCGTTACCTGTATTAATGGCACCTGTTTGAACTTGTTATCAGTATAAAAGACACCTGTCCACAACCTCAAACAGTCACACTCCAAACTCCACTATGGCCAAGACCAAAGAGCTGTCAAAGGACACCAGAAACAAAATTGTAGACCTGCACCAGGCTGGGAAGACTGAATCTGCAATAGGTAAGCAGCTTGGTTTGAAGAAATCAACTGTGGGAGCAATTATTAGGAAATGGAAGACATACAAAACCACTGATAATCTCCCTCGATCTGGGGCTCCACGCAAGATCTCACCCCGTGGGGTCAAAATGATCACAAGAACGGTGAGCAAAAATCCCAGAACCACACGGGGGGACCTAGTGAATGACCTGCAGAGAGCTGGGACCAAAGTAACAAAGCCTACCATCAGTAACACACTACGCCGCCAGGGACTCAAATCCTGCAGTGCCAGACGTGTCCCCCTGCTTAAGCCAGTACATGTCCAGGCCCGTCTGAAGTTTGCTAGAGTACATTTGCATGATCCAGAAGAGGATTGTGGTCCTCTGTAGCTCAGCTGGTAGAGCACGGCGCTTGTAACGCCAAGGTAGTGGGTTCGATCCCCGGGACCACCCATACACAAAAATGTATGCACGCATGACTGTAAGTCGCTTTGGATAAAAGCGTCTGCTAAATGGCATATTATTATATTATATTATTATATTATGATTGGGAGAATGTCATATGGTCAGATGAAACCAAAATATAACTTTTTGTTAAAAACTCAACTCGTCGTGTTTGGAGGACAAAGAATGCTGAGTTGCATCCAAAGAACACCATACCTACTGTGAAGCATGGGGGTGGAAACATCATGCTTTGGGGCTGTTTTTCTGCAAAGGGACCAGGACGACTGATCCGTGTAAAGGAAAGAATGAATGGGGCCATGTATCGTGAGATTTTGAGTGAAAACCTCCTTCCATCAGCAAGGGCATTGAAGATGAAACGTGGCTGGGTCTTTCAGCATGACAATGATCCCAAACCCACCGCCCGGGAAAAGAAGGAGTGGCTTCGTAAGAAGCATTTCAAGGTCCTGGAGTGGCCTAGCCAGTCTCCAGATCTCAACCCCATAGAAAATCTTTGGAGGGAGTTGAAAGTCCATGTTGCCCAGCGACAGCCCCAAAACATCACTGCTCTAGAGGAGATCTGCATGGAGGAATGGGCCAAAATACCAGCAACAGTGTGTGAAAACCTTGTGAAGACTTACAGAAAACGTTTGACCTGTGTCCTTGCCAACAAAGGGTATATAACAAAGTATTGAGAAACTTTTGTTATTGACCAAATACTTATTTTCCACCATAATTTGCAAATAAATTCATAAAAAATCCTACAATGTGATTTTCTGGAAAAAAAAATCCTCATTTTGTCTGTCATAGTTGACGTGTACCTATGATGAAAATTACAGGCCTCTCTCATCTTTTTAAGTGGGAGAACTTGCACAATTGGTGGCTGACTAAATACTTTTTTTCCCCACTGTAGATACTTTTTACCTGTTTCCTCCAGCATCTTCTCAAGGTCCTTTGCTTTTGTTCTGGGATTGATTTGCACTTTTCGCACCAAAGTACGTTCATCTCTAGGAGACAGATCGCGTCTCCTTCCTGAGCGGTATGACGGCTGCGTGGTCCCATGGTGTTTATACTTGCGTACACCATTTTTTTGGAGGTCTTGGCTGATTTCTTTTCATTTTCCTATGACGTCAAGCAAAGAGGCACTGCGTTTGAAGGTAGGCCTTGAAATACATCCACAGGTACACCTCCAATTGACTCAAATTATGTCAATTAGCCTATCACAAGCTTCTAAAGCCATGACATCATTTTCTGGAATTTTCCAAGCTGTTTAAAAGGCACAGTCAACTTAGTGTATGTACATTTCTGACCCACTGAAATTGTGATACAGTGAATTATAAGTTAAATAATCTGTCTGTAAACAGTTGTTGGGAAAATTACTTGTGTCATGCACAAAGTAGATGTCCTAACCGACTTCCCAAAACTATAGTTTAACAAGAAATGTGTGGAGTGGTTGAAAAATGAGTTTTAATGACACCAACCTAAGTGTATTTAAACTTCCGACTTCAACTGTAGCTACTTTAATTTATGTTCCCTGAGTGTATTTCTCCCTTCCACAATCGCTCAGGGTTTGTGTGTGTTCCCTTACCGTTGTGGTTGATGCTGCCGTCCTCCCTCTCAGAGTGGCTGGTGCTGCTGTTGGAGGTGGTGGGAGGGGGCGAGGCCGCCCGGCTGGACGTGGCGCTCTCTGTCTCGTCCAGCAGCCGATCCATGTAGTCCCTGAGACACACGGGGATAAAAAAATACCAACCTGTCAGCACTGACTACAGCCTACCAGTTTAGCCCTTACACTAATCACACCACATGTATACCCTTTTCACAACACTGAGCCATACTGGGCGGGCCTGGTTACGCCTCCAGGATCATGTGAAAAGAAACGTCCAGGATCGCATAGTACAGATCAGCTTGGGAAGATTGTGATAAAAGGGTATTAGATTCACACCCCTAGAACATAATGTCAACAGTAGGTATGGTTCACAAAACAAAGGTGATCACACATTGAGTGTGTATTAGTCACAGGGAATACCCATTCATGACAAGTTACATTTCATTGACTATAATCTTTTCGTTTCATGTTTAAAGAGGCAATCAGCAGTTGCTACATCGATTTTTGGACCTATAAATTAATGATATGTACCCATTGATTCTTGAAGAATATAATATATGTTCAACTGTCGTACCCCATCAGAACCCCAAATATAAACTTGGTTTACTCCAATGTTTGTAAACAAAGTAAATGTAAACAAACACTGTATAGCCTCAAAACATGGTTCAAACTATAATGTTGATATAATGGATGGTCAGTCCTTGCATCCATAGCTCTGTCTATGAATTTGAGAGTGGTTACATCTCTTCAGCCCCGTCCCTCAGCTTTTAATTATTTATATTTTTCTCTACTGCTGATTGCCGCTTTAAAATACATTTCAAATCAGGTAAGCAAAAATCTATAATAAATAATTTTTATATATATAGAAAAAATGTTTGTATAAACACAACACATTTGTTGACTTAATTGAATATTCAAAACAATTCACTTGGTCTGGTGAAAATACTTACGTGACACCAGGGTGAAGGCTGTATTTCCTTTTCCCCAGCCTGCTTTGCTGTGCAAAGAAATCATAACGCTCAGACTTCTTCCACATGTAATAAAAGGCCACACATTCTCCTACTGACCTAGTTCTCACCTGAAAAATGTAATATCAGCAGACAACGAGATAGCCATTATTACCATCGCTTTCCACAGTTGGACTCAATTCAATTTCAACCCCCCCAGTCAAGTCTACAAGGGATGAGTAGAAATGCAATTTGTGAAGAAAAATAAAATAAATGCCTTGTGGAAAAAGTAGGAGTAGCTTTTCAATTCATGAACTGAATTTCAATTCCTCACGAGAGTTGGAGGTTAAAATGGAACTGACCCCAACCCTGATCGTTTCAAAACACATGAGGTGTTAAATCAACATGAAGATAAATATTCTGAAAATAAACATACTTTTTAAATCAGATACCGTTTGTATTAAATATAATCTGATACATAATACAGTGCTTCCCCTAGGATTCTTTTCAGCAGCGGTGGCAAAGTTAGCAGGGGGAGGGGGACAACTTGGCAGTAGGCATGGCCAATGGTGTGGTCTTGCTGTTCTAAAGATAATTTCCTGCAATTCTACACATTTTGCCATGGGCGGAGAGAGTGCATTCGGAAAGTTTTTATTTTTTTGCATTAATGTACAGTGAGGGAAAAACGTATTTGATCCCCTGCTGATTTTGTACGTTTGCCCACTGACAAAGAAATGATCAGTCTATAATTTTAATGGTAGGTTTATTTGAACAGTGAGAGACGGAATAACAACAAAAAAATCCAGAAAAACGCATGTCAAAAATGTTATAAATTGATTTGCATTTTAATGAGGGAAATAAGTATTTGACCCCCTCTCAATCAGAAAGATTTCTGGCTCCCAGGTGTCTTTTATACAGGTAATGAGCTGAGATTAGGAGCACACTCTTAAAGGGAGTGCTCCTAATCTCAGCTTGTTCCCTGTATAAAAGACACCTGTCCACAGAAGCAATCAATCAATCAGATTCCAAACGCTCCACCATGGCCAAGAACAAAGAGCTCTCCAAGGATGTCAGGGACAATATTGTAGACCTACACAAGGCTGGAATGGGCTACAAGACCATCGCCAAGCAGCTAGGTGAGAAGGTGACAACAGTTGGTGCGATTATTTGCAAATGGAAGAAACACAAAATAACTGTCAATCTCCCTTGGCCTGGGGCTCCATGCAAGTTCTCACCTCGTGGAGTTGCAATGATCATGAGAACGGTGAGGAATCAGCCCAGAACTACACGGGCGGATCTTGTCAATGATCTCAAGGAAGCTGGGACCATAGTCACCAAGAAAACAATTGGTAACATACTACGCCGTGAAGGACTGAAATCCTGCAGCGCCCGCAAGGTCCCCCTGCTCAAGAAAGCACATATACAGGCCCGTCTGAAGTTTGCCAATTAACATCTGAATGATTCAGAGGAGAACTGGGTGAAAGTGTTGTGGTCAGATGAGACCAAAATGGAGCTCTTTGGCATCAACTCAACTCGCCGTGTTTGGAGGAGGAGGAATGCTGCCTATGACCCCAAGAACACCATCCCCACCGTGAAACATGGAGGTGGAAACATTATGCTTTGGGGGTGTTTTTCTGCTAAGGGGACAGGACAACTTCACCGCATCAAAGGGACGATGGACAGGGCCATGTACCGTCAAATCTTGGGTGAGAACCTCCTTCCCTCAGCCAGGGCATTGAAAATGGGTCGTGGATGGGTATTCCAGCATGACAATGACCCAAAACACACGGCCAAGGCAACAAAGGAGTGGCTCAAGAAGAAGCACATTAAGGTCCTGGAGTGGCCTAGCCAGTCTCCAGACCTTAATCCCATAGAAAATCTGTGGAGGGAGCTGAAGGTTCGAGTTGCCAAACATCAGCCTCGAAACCTTAATGACTTGGAGAAGATCTGCAAAGAGGAGTGGGACAAAATCCCTCCTGAGATATGTGCAAACCTGGTGGCCAACTACAAGAAACGTCTGACCTCTGTGATTGCCAACAAGGATTTTGCCACCAAGTACTAAGTCATGTTTTGCAGAGGGGTCAAATACTTATTTACCTCATTAAAATGCAAATCAATTTATAATATTTTTGACAGGCATTTTTGTTATTCTGTCTCTCACTGTTCAAATAAACCTACCATTAAAATTATAGACTGATCATGTCGTCAGTGGGCAAACGTACAAAATCAGCAGGGGATCAAATACTTTATTCCCTCACTGTATAATAAGTTCAAACTTGAAATATCACATTTACATAAGTATTCAGACCCTTTATTCAGTACTTTGTTGAAGCACCTTTGGCAGCGATTACAGCCTCGAGTCTTCTTGGGTATGATGCTACAAGCTTGGCACACCTGTATTTGGGGAGTTTCTCCCATTCTTCTCTGCAGATCCTCTCAAGCTCTGTCAGGTTGGATGGGGAGCGTCGCTGCACAGCTATTTTCAGGTCTCTCCAGAGATGTTCGATCAGGTTCAAGTCCGGGCTCTGGCTGGGCCACTCAAGGACATTAAGTGACTTGTCCCGAAGCCACTCTTGCATTGTCTTGGCTGTGTGCTTAGGGTCGTTGTCCTGTTGGAAGGTGAACCTTCGCACCAGTCTGAGGTCCTGAGCGCTCTGGAGCAGGTTTTCATCATGGATCTCTCTGTACTTTGCTCCGTTCAGCTTTCCTTCAAGCCTGACTAGTCTTCCAGTCCCTGCTGCTGAAAAACATCCCCATAGCATGATGCTGCCCCCACCATGCTTCACCGTAGGGATGGTGCCAGGTTTCCTCCAGACGTCACGCTTGGCATTCAGGCCAGAGAATCTTGTTTCTCAGTCTGAGAGTCCTTTAGGTGCCTTTTTAGCAAACTCCAAGTGGGCTGTCATGTGCATTTTACTGAGGAGTGGCTTCTGTCTGGCCACTCTACCATAAAGGCCTGATTGGTGGAGTGCTGCGGAGATGGTTGTCCTTCTGGAAGGTTCTCCCATCTCCACAGAGGAACTCTGGAGCTCTGTCAGAGTGACCATCGGGTTCTTGGTCACCTCCCTGACCAAGGCCCTTCTCCCCCGATTGCTCAGTTTGGCCGGGCGGCCAGCTCTAGGAAGAGTCTTGGTGGTACCAAACTTCTTCCATTTAAGAATGATGGAGGCCACTGTGTTCTTGGGGACCTTCAATGCTGCAGAATGTTTTTGGTACCCTTCCCCAGATCTGTGCCTCAACACAATCCTGTCTCGGAGCTCTACGGACAATTCCTTCGACCTCATGGCTTGGTTTTTTGCTTAGACATGCACTGTCAACTGTGGGACCTTATATAGACAGGTGTTTGCCTTTCCAAATCATGTTCAATCACCACTAAATAAGCTATTTTTCTTTATCTGCACAAATGTATAAAAACCTATTGTTGCTTTGTCATTATGGGGTATTGTGTGTAGATTGATGAGGAATTGTATTTATTTATTCAATTTTAGACTAAGGCTGTAATGTACCAAAATGTGGAAAAAGTCAAGGGGTCTGAATACTTTCCCAATGCACTGTATGTTTTACATATATTTTGGAGTGGCAGCAATGATTTAGCAGCGGAGGCCCGCCACTGCTAAATTAATATAGGGGAAGCGCTGTATAAGATCGACATAGCTTACCTTGTTGGCTTGTATTGAATGAAAGTCTTTCCCATAACCTTTTAGTCCTTGCTCAAAATATCTACATTCTTCTTCTGTCCACACAGACAGCTCTTCTGTGACAGAGGGGAAAGGGTTAAGTATCATGACAACTGCTGCATTCAAATAAAATATAATTAAACTACGAACATGTTACAGGTCCTAGGCATGGGACGCCATTCAACAACACACAGACACAAGCCAGGACCCAAGTAAGTCAAGGACAGCCTTTATAATATTGAGAGAAAATATGGCAGATATTTGAGTGAAATCAAGACAGAAAGCCTAAACCATTTCACTGCAGGTCTTACCTCTAGCTACCTTCACATTAAACTTCAGTCTTCTTAAAGCTTCCTCTGTGTCAAATTCACACTTGACCAACTCATAAAGCGCCTGTTGAAAGACAACATTGAGACTGTAAAGAAGATGGTTACAGACAAAAGTACATACTACAGTCTTTATAGTATACATTTTGAAACAGT